CTAATCTCCTGGGCTCACGTGATTCTCCCACCTCAGCCTCCTGAGTAGTTGGGACTACAGGCACATGCCACTATGGCTGGCTAACTTCTTTTTTCAGTATTTTTAGTAGAGTCAGGGTTTTGCTATGTTGCCCAGGCTAGTCTCAAACTCCTGGACTCAAGCAATTGGCCTATCTTGGCTTCCTAGAGTGCTGGGATTATAGGCCTGAGAGCCGCCAGACCCGGCCAGTGCAGCTTCTTTTAATTTCACTCCTCCTAATATTGTTTCATAAAATAAATTAATTTGGGCCAGGTGCGGTGGCTCACGCCTATAATCCCAGCACTTTGGGAAGCCGAGGCAGGTGGATCACAAGGTCAAGAGATCGAGACCATCCTGGTCAACAAGGTGAAACCCTGCCTCTACTAAAAATACAAAAATTAGCTGGGCATGGTGGCACGCGCCTGTAGTCCCAGCTACTCGGGAGGCTGAGGCAGGAGAATTGCTTGAACCCAGGAGCCGGAAGTTGTGGTGAGCCAAGATCACGCCATTGCACTCCAGCCTGGGTAACAAGAGCAAAACTCCGTCTCAAAATAAATAAATAAATAAATAAATTTGTTAATTCCCCAGTCAGTCAAATTATGTACTGTAGTTAACAATATTCAGTTGAAGAGAACTGGTTATCAGGCCTAAACCACAGTTCTTTTTTTTTCTTTTAATTTTTCAAATCATTGAACTAGCAGCCGTGATCTTTCCAATTTTGGTCTTCAGTTTCTGGTGCTTAATTTTGTGCATCTTTGGGAATTATTTTTAGATCATCTTTTGGAGGCTCTTTCAGTAAGGCCACGAGAGAGATTTGAGGAACCGGACCTTTAACAACAGCATTCTCTGCTGTGTTATCAGCCAAGGCTGTTTCCTCCAGCTTCCGCAGCGGCTAACCTTGAATGTCCGCAAGTTTCCATAATAGCCAATGCAGCTGCTAGCTGGATGGCATCCAGTGTATTCTGTACATAGGATCCATTTTTATTTAATTAATTTTTTTTTTTTTTTTTTTGAGGCGGAGTTTCGCTCTTGTTACCCAGGCTGGAGTGCAATGGCGCGATCTCGGCTCACCGCAACCTCCGCCTCCTGGGTTCAGGCAATTCTCCTGTCTCAGCCTCCTGAGTAGCTGGGATTACAGGCACGCACCACCATGCCCAGCTAACTTTTTGTATTTTTAGTAGAGACGGGGTTTCACCTTGCTGACCAGGATGGTCTTGATCTCTTGACCTCGTGATCCACCCGCCTCGGCCTCCCAAAGTGCTGGGATTACAGGCTTGAGCCACCGCGCCCGGCCTATTTTATTTTTTTGAGTCAGAGTCTCGTTCTGTCGCCCAGGCTGGAGTACAGTGGCACCATCTCGGCTCACTGCAACCTCCACCTCCCAGGTTCAAGCAATCCTCCTGCCTCAGCTTCCCGAGCAGCTGGGCTTACAGGCACGCGCCACCACGCCCAGCTAATTTTTGTATTTTTAGTAGAGACGGGGTTTCACCATGTTGACCAGGATGGTGTCGATCTCTTGACCTCGTGATCCACCCGCCTCAGCCTCCCAAAGTGCTGGGATTACAGGCTTGAGCCACCGCGCCCGGCCAGGATCCATTTTTAATTTGATGCCCAGTGGAAGTGAGGAAATCCCTCCATTTCCATAGCAGTCCAAAGTCAGGAGCAGCACCAAAGGCATTTCTACCATCTGTGTAGAGTCACAGATTTCCCTTTCTCGAGGCAGCCAGTCCAGGTAAGGGCAGTGAGTTCAGCTTGTTGAAGTAGCCACAGGGGCCAGACACAGCAGCTCACACCTGTAATCCCAGCACCTTGGGAGGCTGAAGCAGGCAGATCACTTGAGGTCAGAAGTTTGAGACCAGCCCAGCCGACACGGCAAAACCTCATCTCTAATAAAAATACTAAAAAAAATTAACCGGGGATGGTGGTGGTGCCTGTAATCTTAGCTACTTGAGAGGCTAAGGCAGGAGAATTGCTTGAATACAGGGGGCAGAGGTTGCAGTGAGCTGAGATTGCACCACTGCACTCCAGCCTGGGCAACAAAGAGAGATTTCATCAAAAAAAAAAAAAAAAAAAAAAAAAAAAAAAAAAAAAATCTGGGCATGGTGGCTCACAACTGTAATCCTAGCACTTTGGGAGGCCGAGGCGGGCAGATCATGAGGTCAAGGGATGGGGATCATCCTGGTCAACATGGTGAAACCCCGTCTTCACTAAAATTACAAAAAAATTAGGCAAGCGTGGTGGCTCACACCTGTAGTCCCAGCTACTCAGGAGGCTGAGGCAGGAAAATCACTTGAACCTGGGAGACAGAGGTTGCAGCGAACCAAGATTGTGCCAGTGCACTCCAGCCTGGTGACAGAGCAAGACTCCACCTCAAAAAAAAAAAAAAAAAAAAAGCACCACAGGTGTAAATTACAGGGTAAAATTTACTATCAGATGGTACTGAGGTCAGCAAGGCACGTGGATTTGAAACTATGGGATGATGGCACAAAACACTATCATTTACGGCTGAGATTCTGAATAAATCTCCATCCTCAGTTATTTGGTTTCTTACTGGAACAGTGCGAGGATTACAGGGCTAGAAGAACCAAGGATTATTAAGCCTCCAGTTTTCCATTTTTCTTTTCTTTCTTTCTTTTTTTTTTTTTTTTGAGACGGAGTTTCGCTCTTGTTACCCAGGCTGGAGTGCAATGGCGCGATCTCGGCTCACCGCAACCTCCGCCTCCCGGGTTCAGGCAATTCTCCTGCCTCAGCCTCCTGAGTAGCTGGGATTACAGGCACGCGCCACCATGCCCAGCTAGTTTTTTGTATTTTTAGTAGACACGGGGTTTCACCTTGTTGACCAGGATGGTCTTAATCTCTTGACCTCGTGATCCACCCGCCTCGGCCTCCCAAAGTGCTGGGATTACAGGCTTGAGCCACTGCGCCCGGCCTCCATTTTTCAATGATGGGCTTTATGCCTTGTAAGGCAGATTGACTCAAGCGATACTGTTTGGTATTAGGCAAGGGCTTGGGGAGATTAATTTGGATCTTAATCTGGGGTGCACTATAAATCCTACTGACATCAGTTGACAGTGTGGCCCATGAGGAGACAGGTGTCTTCTTGTATTTTTTGGGGGGGGGAATAAATAGGGAATTTTGGAAGTCAGCAGAGGTGACTGCACATGGGACAGCATGACAAATAAGGGGAACATCACTGGTGGAGTGCAGTAAACTATGAGGCTCATCAAACTCTAGAATTATTTCCCCCTTTTCGGAGAAGAAGATACTAACATGGCATTTCTCAAAAAATCTGGTCTGACAAGGCAATTTGGGATGCCAAGGCTGGAGGATCACTTGAGCCCTAGAGTTTGAGGCCAGCCTGGACAACATAGTGGGATCCTATCTCTACCAAAAAAAAAAAAAAATAGCTGCGCGTGGTGGCATGAACCTGTAGTCCCAGCTGCTTAGGAGGGTGAGGCAGAAGGATCACTTGAGCCCAGGAGTTCAAGGTTACAGGGAGCTATGATTATGCCACTGCACTCCAGCCTGGGTGAAAGAGTGACCCTGTCTCAAAAAAAAAAGTCTTCGTTGTTAATGAGCTGGAGGTGACTCCAGCAGGAAGAAAGGATGGGTGTCTTGTGTCCTGTAAAGGTCCAAGGTGGAAAGTAATAGGTTGCGACAGAAAGGCTACCAGTGGGCTGGGTGCACTTTGGGAGCCTGAGGCAGGTGGATCACCTGAGGTCAGGGGTTTGAGACCAGCCTGACCAACATAGTGAAACCCCATCTTTACTAAAAATACAAAAATTAGCTGAGTTGGTGGCTTATGCCTGTAATCCCAGCTGCTTGAGAGTCTGAGACAAAAGAATTGCTTGAATCCAGGAGGCGGAGGTTGCAGTGAGCTGAGATCGCGCCATTGCACTCCAGCTTGGGCAACAAGAGTGAGACTCTGCCTCAAAAAAAAAAAAACAAACAAGAATTAGCTGGGTGTGGTGGTGCGTACCCTAAATCCCAGCTACTCGGGAGGCTGGGAAAGGAGAATCACTTGAACCTGGGAGGTGGAGGTTGCACTGAGCTGAGGTTACGCCATTGTACTCCAGCCTGGGTGACAGAGTGAGACTCCATGTCAAAAACAAAACAAAACAAAACAAAAAAAACAGCTACCAATGGCTTATTACAGACTCCTATAATTTGAATTGTATTACTCTGTGGCAGGGTCTGGTTGAGGTTGGTGGGCTTGAGCCCTAATAGCACTGCTTCAGTGTCTATGAGAACAGTTAGAACCTCATTGCCAATTTGAAGAACAGTCTCCCCCAGGTGACTAAGAGGGAAGATTGGAGAAAATGAAGTAAATCCTTGGAGCCCCTTCATTGGAGGGAGAAATTGGAGGATCAAGTGAAGAAGACTGTCTAATTCATGTACGTTTAGGACAATCCTTCTTCCAATGGCCTGGCTGTGTACAATTTCCTGTGACAATTTCCAGGACATAGTCCTTGTCCTGTGCCATTAGATTAGAGCTGTGCCATTTAGAGTCCCAGTTGTTTGCTCTGGGAGAACTGATCTGTTGTAGCAGTTGAAGATTTAGAATTGTAGTAGCCTTCTTTTTTGTTTTGTTTTGTTTTTTGATTCAGAATCTCGCTCTGTTGCCCAGGCTGGAGTCCAATGGTGTGTTCTTGGCTCACTGCAACCCCCGCCTCCCGGGTTCAAGCGATTCTCCTGCCTCAGCCTCCCGAGTAGCTGGGACTACAGGCACACGTCACCACGCCCGGCTAATTTTTTTCTATTTTTTAGTAGAGATGGGGTTTCACCATGTTAGTCAGGCTGGTCTCCAACTCCTGACCTCGTGATCTGCCCGCCTCAGTCTCACAAAGTGCTGGGATTACAGGCGTGAGACACCACACCTGGCCCTTGCCATTATTTTGCTTTTATTTTTTTGTTTGTCTCCATTAATTTAGAGGCAGTATTTTAATATATATATATATATATATATATATACACACACACACATATATATATATTTAATTTTATAAAAATGTGTCATCCTTGTGCAGGGGCCATGCTAATCTTCTCTGTATCGTTCCAATTTTAGTATATGTGCTGTTGAAGCGAGCACTAGAGACAGTATTTTAAATCGAGGCAAATTTTGATTTCTGACTGCATTTAGACACCTCAGTGTGCCAGTTAAGGTATGCATTCCATCCAGGCTGCTTAGTTTTAGAGCCGTGGCTTCTAATTTATTCCTGAGATTAACTTAGAGAGGTCAAAAGAACCCCCCAGGAAGGCCACTGTAGTTCCAGGTCATCTTCAGCATATTTGGCCCGAGGAGATAAGAAAACCTGTGGTGATGGACCATAATGCTTAAGCATAGCCAGCTGGAGTCCCCTGCGGGGGGCTATCTTGGCAGGCTTTTGAATTCTGAGAAGACACTGTGACCTGGGTTAATGCCAAATGCACAAAGTCAGTCAAATGCAAACGCCCTGCACCTGAAGGCCCAATTAAAACAAAAGCACCATTGGAAAGTAATGTATTTACCTAGAAGGATAAGTCTTCTTCAAATAAGAGGAAAAATCTCCTCCAAACCTGGAGGTCCAAACCTTGCAGCGCGGCCAGCAGGAGGAAAATAACCCTCCCCACGTGGTATCTCCAAAACAGAAGCGGGAAAGGCTCCTTCCCATCCACATTCCAAATAAAACAGACTTCAAACCAAATTCTGAAGTTCTGTCCAAGAGACTCCCAGGGCTGGGGGCAAGGAAGTGGGGCAGGGCCTTTAAAGGGCCTGTTGTGGGTAGCTTACACCGTAATTCCAAACTGAGATGACGCAGCTTTGGGCCCACTTCTTTTTTTTTTTTTTTTTGAGACGGAGTTTCGCTCTTGTTACCCAGGCTGGAGTGCAATGGCGCGATCTCGGCTCACCGCAACCTCCGCCTCCTGGGCTCAGGCAATTCTCCCTCCTCAGCCTCCTGAGTAGCTGGGATTACAGGCACGTGCCACCATGCCCAGCTAATTTTTTGCACTTTTAGTAGAGACGGGGTTTCACCATGTTGACCAGGATGGTCTCGATCTCTTGACCTCGTGATCCACCCGCCTCAGCCTCCCAAAGTGCTGGGATTACAGGCTTGAGCCACCGCGCCCGGCTTGGGCCCACTTCTGACACTACAGTCTGCTGAAGTAAAAACACAAATGAGGCCGGGCGCGGTGGCTCAAGCCTGTAATCCCAGCACTTTGGGAGGCCGAGATGGGTGGATCACGAGGTCGAGAGATCGAGACCATCCTGGTCAACAAGGTGAAACCCCGTCTCTACTAAAAATACAAAAAATTAGCTGGGCATGGTGGCACGTGCCTGTAATCCCAGCTACTCAGGAGGCTGAGGCAGGAGAATTGCCTGAACCCAGGAGGCGGAGGTTGCGGTGAGCCGAGATCGAGCCATTGCACTCCAGCCTGGGTAACAAGAGCGAAACTCCGTCTCAAAAAAAAAAAAAAAAAAAAAAAAAAAAAAAAACACAAATGTACAGCTGGGCGCGTGGGCTCCTGCCTGTCATCTCAGCACTTTGGGAAGCCTAGTTGGGCAGATACCTTGAGCTCAGGAGTTTGAGACCAGCCAGGGCAACATGGTGAAACCCTGTGTCTCTACAAATAGTACAAAAAATTAGCCAGATGTGGTGGCGTGTATCTGTAGTCCCAGCTACTTGGGAGGCTGAGATGGGAGGATCACTTGGGCCCAGAAGGTGGAGGCAGCAGCTCCGTGATCTCACCACTCGATCTCAGTCCTGGGCAACAGAATGAGACTCTGTCTTAAAAAGAAAAAAACGAATGTAGAGACACATCTCTAAATATAATGTTTTCTTTGGGAAGAAAGAATTGCAATTCAAGAGGTGAGTGTGGTGACTTATGCCTGTAATGCCTGCACTTTGGGAGGCTGAACGGGGCAGATCACTTGAGGCCTGGAGTTTGAGACCAGCCTGGCCAACATGGAAAATACCCATCTCTACTAAAAATACAAAAATTAGCCGGGCATGGCGGCATGCACATGTAGTAGTCCCAGTTACTTGGGAGGCTGAGGCATGAGAATCGCTTGAGCCTGGGAGGTAGAGGTTGCAGTGAGGAGATCACGCTATTGCACTCCAGCCTGGGCAACGGCGAGACTCTGTCTCAAAAAAATAAAATAAAAAAGAATTGCAGCTGGGCGCGGTGGCTCAAGCCTGTAATCCCAGCACTTTGGGTGGCCGAGGCGGGTGGATCACGAGGTCGAGAGATGGAGACCATCCTGGTCAACATGGTGAAACCCCGTTTCTACTAAAAATACAAAAAATTAGCTGGGCATGGTGGCGTGTGCCTGTAATCCCAGCTACTCAGGAGGCTGAGGCAGGAGAATTGCTTGAACCCAGGAGGCGGAGGTTGCGGTGAGCCGAGATTGCACCATTGCATTCTATCTAGTCTGGGTAACAAGAGTGAAACTCTGTCTCAAAAAAAAAAAAAAAAAAGAGAATTGCAATTCAGGGCATACATGCAGATGGGGTGGTCTTCAGTATTACTTAAGAACAAAGAGAAGGTCGGTAATTTTATGAAAAGGAAGAATGTTACATGTGGTGTTAGTAAGGCTTTGGGGAGGTGACAAGCTTTGATTGGTGGGTGACACAGTGGGCAAAATTAGCCCTCGAGTTGCACCAAGTTATCTCAGCAGTAGAGATAAAACGGGTTTCAGGTTACAACAGGCAGTTTCAGCAGCTGGACTCGCAAAGATAATTACATTTCTAGAGCAATGTTGTGTGCCCCGAGTCCTTCTCCTGGCCCCTCTACTCTGATTTAGGCGGGTATGACAAGGATGCCCCAGTTCATAGGATCAACTTTTACAGGAGTGTGTGTCAGGTGAGACAGAGAGATGAAACCAAAATGCATAAAACAGAAGAAATGCATTATGCACAGGTCCCAGAGAGGTTAGGGGTGCCAGTGGGAAGTTGATGGGAAGTCTGGAGACAGCAGGGAGCTTGACCACTGGGTGGGGGAGCAAATGAGAGAGATAGAGGGAAACAGAACCGGTGGGCCTGTGCCGGTATTACCTTAGGCTTTCCTGTGGTGGTTGTGGATTAGCTATTTTAAGGAAAACACACTTGAAGGGGAAACTTTTCTTTTAGATGGAGTTTTGCTCATTTCCCAGGCTGGAGTGCAATGGCGCAACCTTAGCTCACTGCAACCTTCACCTCCTGGGTTCAAGCAATTCTCCTGCCTCAGCCTCCTGAGTAGAAGGGATCACAGGCATGCGCCACCACGCCCAGCTAATTTTTGTAGTTTTAGTAGAGACAGGGTTTCTCCATGTTGGTCAGGCTGGTCTCGAACTCCCGACCTCAGGTTATCAGCCCACTTCAGCCTCCCAAAGTGCTTGAGATCACAGGCATGACCCACCGTGCCCGGCTAAAGGGGGGACTGCCTTACTTGACTCTGATGTTGGCCATCCCATAGGGCCATGGTCAGCCACTGTAGGATGTTGGGTTTTGGGTTGGTGAGATAAGGAACAGGTGGGCTAAACTGCAAGCCACAAGAGGAAGGGGAAGTTTTAATGAGGCCAAGGTGATGAGGTTTTCACCGGGTTTCAAACAATGTACGTCAGGCCTATCCGTGGATGCCAAGGCAGGAAGTATATTGTAGCACAGTTATGACAGGCATGCAGAGGGACTGGAGAATGGGTAACGCAAGAGTGAAAATACTCCCTCACCAGTCCTGCTGAGGGCCACCAAGTTCCGAAGCTGGAGAACTAGGGGTCAGGCAGCCCACGGCAGGCACAGCCGAGCCAACCCTCAGCCAGTTCAAGATACTGTTGCTGTCGTGAGATGCAGCAGGGCTCTAGAGGAGGCCGGCAAGGTGGGGAATCTGCCAGCGGCTGCAGGCCACGTTTGGTTCACTGGAGAATGTCAGGCTGCACATTGGCATTACCAAGGGCAGAGGCTCAGGCAAGTTGACCCGTCAACACCATGAGAGGCTACGAAATGAAGACCCCAACTCAGCCTGCAGGGCTGTGACAGAAATGGCTGTGGACCCTACGACCTACCAGCATCCATGGTCATCATCAGACCTGCCAGCCACAGGCACGCCCACTTTCCGGGCTGACAAGTACCTCCAGCAGCTGCTGCTGGACCGTTGCCACCTCATTATCATCGCATCAGAGCATTGCACCGGCAGCCATGCCCAGCTGGGTGACAAGATCCTGCAGAGGAAGGCGTTTTTCCATCCTCTGCTCCAAGATGGACGTGGAGTTTGCCACCCCTGCAGCTGCCACCCCAGCACCTTCTCTGAAGAGAGTGAGCTCAGCTGGATCCTGATGGCTGACGGCAGTAACTGGAGGGTCAGGCACAGGGTCTGGGGACTGGTGGCAGAGGAGGACCTGGACCCTTGAGAGACTGCCCACCCTTTCCACTTCATCTTCCAGCAGAGGCCCAGAGTGGGAAAAGGGGTCACCCCAGGTACCACCATGTGACTGAACTAGACTCTGCAGTGAAATAAAGCTTTCAGCTACCATTCCCTAAGAGCCAGCACTTCCGTCACTGGTGACAGAGACCAATCACTTGCATTAAGGAGAAAAAAGAAGCCGGGTGTGGTGGCTCAGGCCTGTGATCTCAGCACTTTGGGAGGCTGAGGCAGGCAGATCACCTGAGTTCGGGAGTTTGAGATTAGCCTGACCGACATGGAGAAACCACGTCTCTACTAAAAATACACAAAGTAGGCCGGGCTAGGTGGCTCACGCCTGTAATCCCAGCACTTCGGGAGGCTGAGGCGGGCAGATCACGAGATGAAGAGATCGAGACCATACCATCCTGGCCAACGTGGTGAAACCCTATCTCTATTTAAAAAAAAAAAAAGAGGCCAGGCGCGGTGGCTCAAACCTGTAATCCCAGCACTTTGGGAGGCTGAGGCGGGTGGATCACGAGGTCAAGAGATCGAAACCATCCTGGTCAACATGGTGAAACCCCGTCTCTACTAAAAATACTAAAAATTAGCTGGGCATGGTGGCGTGTGCCTGTAATCCCAGCTACTCAGGAGGCTGAGGCAGGAGAATTGCCTGAACCCAGGAGGCGGAGGTTGCGGTGAGCCGAGATTGCGCCATTGCACTCCAGCCTGGGC